CACGCACGCACACACACACACGCACGCACGCACGCACGCACGCACGCACACACAACACACACACACACACACACACACATACACACACACACAGATATATATATATATAGAGAGAGAGATATATATACATATATAGCCTTCTTTTAACTATTTTAGTTTCCGTATAATATAACGTAATAACGTTTTTCCGGAACCGCTTTGCAGATCATGCGATAAGGCCTGTGCCTGACATAAACATAACGCCGAACGATTATAACCTATATTTCAAATGAAAGTTTGAATGGAAATTTTAAACTCTAAATAACAGTTTTTATCTATATGATCACATAACTGACTTCCATACATATGTACATGCCATTAACACGCGCGCCCACACACACGCTCGCACGCAGATAGAGTCAATATTTCTGACGCGGAGTTTAATCGTTGCATTATTTGTTGGGAGTGTGAATCACGCCTCGGTCAGTTAAACAACGGAAATAACATTGACAATGATGAGGCATTTGTCTATCGATCGAGATCAATTAAACACATTTGAAATACTTATACGAAACCTGATTTTTTTTTACTTAACTGATGATATCAGCACTATAGTCGAATATCGCTTGGAAGAGTGGTAAGGTTGAAAAACGGACAATTAATTGGTTACGCAGATATTTTAAAACACAGTGCAGCCGAAAATAGCTTTTATCGATTTACCCGCGGGAGCGCCAGTGTGCAGTGTGCAGTAGTTTATAGCGCCGCACAAATCTTCTGCTGCTGGCTCATCCACTCAGTCCGTACTCCCGCCCCAGTCTTAGAAGCAGTTTAAATAGGTAAGGAAAAGTCGGCCTACGCGTGATTAGCCAACGCACATAGTATGCCTGGTCAATATTTCGAGATACCTAGTACTATATTATTATGAGCAATAATATTTTGCAATTGCCTTGCGAAAGGAACGCATAGAAAAGTATAAACTTTCTACAGGGTGCAGACCTGCGTTGTGATTTTAACTTACTGTATCTCAATTTTAAAAGCTATCTGAGTTACAGGCAAAAATGTATAATTATTTAAGTTTGTTAAATTAACTACGTAGATGCGATCTTCATCAATGCTAGGTATGTGTAACGTATTATCGTGTTGATTAATCTATGTTCGCTCTGCAGCAATACCTAGACGCTGTGTAGGGAAAGCTGTCATCAGCATTTTAGCCGATCGTAAATCTAATGTGCTAGACCTACTGCCTTTGCCTTTGTGCTTACGCGTTAACCGAATACACATCGAACCTAATATAGTTGTTTAATTATAAATATTGATTTTTCTGATAATTTTTAAGTTTTTCTCGAATGCTCCAAAAGTGAACTGCTGCGAAGGCGGCAGACGATATGCTGCTTGCGGTTGCTAGCTAGCCGAAAAAAAGAGATAGAGAGAGGGGGAACGTAATGAGGAAGAGAGAGAAGTAGATGTTCAGCAGATATTCAACTCGTAGAAAACAACTCCACCATTCTTTATTTAGCGCCGTTTTTGATATATGTATCTAAAGTCTTTGCAGGTTATGAAACATATTTACGGCTATATACGCTCTCTTAGGTATAACATCTTTGTACGTGCTTGATCTTCGATGCTAGTTAGTCATTTCATACTTCCTTCCAATCACATGTCAGCCATCTCACACAGCTATGTAACAATCGGATAGTTTTTGCTTCCACTAAGGGCTACTTATCCGTATTCGAATTAAAGATAGATGGCTCGAGTTTTTATCAATTAATTATAACTTTTATATATATAGACACGCATAGCGTGAGCGACTAGTTCAAAATTGTGCAATGACGCTGTCTTGTACTGGTTATAGGTTCCTGAAGCAATCATAAAATAAAAGCGAGAAAATCAGCAGTAGATCTGTATTAATCGCTGCCCTTGTTCAATACTACTCGATGTTTGGCGTTACACCAATAGGTACTTGATGAGTCCGAGAGAGGGCGCTGCTACCTGGAAGCAGAGGATTTCCAGCAAGCATGCTCAGATGACAGACAGCGATTGCAGGCGGTACACTGCGCTATTATTACAGTCGATATTGCAGTTATAGTCGGCGTGTGTATGGAGGAGCAGTGCGAGATCAGCAGGCAGCAAGCGAGGAATTGCGGGCGCGCGTGGTTGATGCCTGCATATTACGTGCGTGGCGCAGAATGGCAGGCATAGCAGGAAGGTGTGTGGTCACGGACAGATGAAACTGGAATATAGGAGCTACGCTAGCTTTCGATTGTTCTCAGTGCTCTGCTCTGTTACTGATAGTACAACGCGAGCCAGTTGTTCTCGATGTCGTTCTGTAGTAATGTGAAGACATGCAGCCGTGGGTTCCGTATGGCAAGTGTCGGTGCAGAGCGAAGTGGTGTGTGTGCTCTGCTACCCCATAAAATTTATACCGGCAAGCCTAGTTCGGGCACACCCTCCGTGCCCGCCGCGCTAGATCTTACCCAGAATGAAGAAGCAAAACGTCAGGACTCTATCGTTGATCGTATGTTGTTTTACGTACCTGCTAGTGGGCGCAGCTGTTTTTGATGCTCTCGAATCGGAAAACGAAGTACTCGAGAATGAGTTCCTTACTACTGTCGTCAATGACTTTGTCGTAAAGTACAATGTCACTACGGAGGATCAGCTGCAGTGGGAGTTGTTGGTGGAGAGTATGATTCCCCACAAAGCTGGTGTCCAGTGGAAATTTGCGGGTGCATTTTATTTCGCCACAACGGTGATTACAACTATAGGTAAGTATTTCGTGAGTCGCGGCCATTTTATTCTCAATAAAACGCCCGAATCAAAGAGAAGGTCAAACGGCGGTGATCTGCTGCACAGTAGCAGCTTCCGCGGACGTTGCTAGCAGACGATATGATGAACGCTGCACTGACTGGAAGCACCCGGCTTGCAGATGCCCGCTTTCTATTCTATGCCTTTGTTCTCGCCGGTGCTTCCTTTGGGTGAGATCGAGTTCTTTAGTTGATAAACGCATCAATTTGTATCATTTCGCGGAACGCCGGTGACGGTGGAAAGAGCGAGGAATGCGCGAGCGGTGCGCGTAAGGCCCGCGCTGCTAGGGTCACACACGCGCGCGCGCGACGGCTGTGGAAGGCGAGTGTATTCACTAATGAGACGATATAAACGTACCATGTGCGGCAATATCAGAAGTGCATATTAACGAATGGGAAATATGTGGTGCACGATGAGTTAAAGATGAAGGTTGAATTGTCTGTCGTGCAGACAGCATGCCGTCTTTGGAATCCGGGAGCATATTATGTACATAGACACAGCAGCCGAGAGGATGAAAATTCTAGTTTGGTCACCGAGAGTAGGGCCTACATATTTACTACTTCGGCAAACCGATTTGGTGTGGTATTTCAATCACCATTTTCATTTGATCACATGTAAATTTTTCGAATAATATCGCATTGATTATACATTACCATTTGATTCTTTCTAAGAAGGGACATTTGCCAAATCAGACCAAATACAATATGATAGTGCGTCTTTGGTACGTTACATTATAGGCAAATCCCGACAGACACGCGCAAGCACGCACGCCCCCGCGAAACTTTTTTTTCCCAACGGTATACATAGTAAGGATGTATATTGCGCCTTTCTGATTTGGCTGTGTCAAATTTGCCCAAAGATGTCAGCTCCATACTCTGTAGCCAAATCCCCAATTATCATACCAAAAACTTTCCGAACTTTCTGTAAGTTTAGGTTAAGTAGTTTTTAGTATGTTTCTTTGAAAACACACTAGTTTGAATGAATTAAACGCCAAATATCATGGCCGTTCTTGACTGATTTGCTTTGACTGAAGAAGACCCTCAGACAAGGAACAAACGCGCGTTTGTAAATGTTGGTTCAAGAGTAGAGAACATGGGTCCCAATACTAACCAGATGTAATTACATCAATATAAATAGTAATCATTATATCATATAAGTAGGTTAGGTTTCATGGTTAGGATGTGTTATGTTATAGGGTGTAGTTAGGTTGGGTTAGGGTCGAAATTAGGGGTAGGGTTAGGGTTATAGGCACAGTGCGTTTTATTGGACCCATGTTCTCTATCCTTGCCCTAAATTTTTGTTTTGGTTTGAATGACCGAGCTAATAGTACAAGTGTTCTGGATGTATTTTTCCCATGAAAGAACATATTTTACTCATTATTATAACATTAATTATTATACTAATTGCAATTTTCTTGTGCAAATGGTTATTCTTCTATCTTGACATCTTAGTTTATGAGACGGGTCTAGGTTATAGTTATAGCTGCCGAGTTTTCTGTAATCGTTTATGTTACGTGCCGTGGTCGCGATTGTTAGTGCATCGTTTCAGCTGTACTCTCAGGTTAAACAGTGTAAAACACATAGGTTACTACTTACGACTGACTACCTACTACTAGCGTCATGCCAACGAGTACGAGTACGTATAGCTCTAGTACTGTCGTAGCCGCTAAGTACTTAGTCCGTCGTAGCTCCTAGTACTAGTGGCTACCGTCGTAGCCCTTCGCCCTGTCCTCCTGCGACGAGCACTGAACGCATGCGTGACTACGTAGTATGTAAATTACGGAGAGCCAGATACCTCTCATAACATTGGATTGGAGATGTGAAAACAACGCATTGTGCCAGAAAGAATTCGCAATTATAGAGAATTATATTGTATATTATATCGAGTACTAAAGTTTACGTTTTTCATGAAAATACATCAGAAACACGTACTTATCTAGCGGTCATAAACACAAACGAAACATTTACAAATGCGTTTGTTCCTTGTCAAAGGCAAAGCAAAGTCGACAGCAGCCAACAGAAGGCGCTAAATTTCTTCGCTATGTTATACCGTTTGGGAAAAAAAGTTTCGTCCGCCCGCCCGCCCGCCCAGCTACGCACGCACCACACACACACACGCACGCACGCACGCACGCCACGCACGCACACACAGACAATCACCACACACACAACACACATTACACACACACACAGATATATATATATATATGAGAGAGAGATATATATACCATATATATGCCTTCTTTAACTATTTTAGTTTCCGTATAATATAACGCTAATAACGTTTCCGGAACCGCTTTGCAGATCATGCGATAAGGCCTGTGCCTGACATAAACATAACGACCGAACGATTATAACCTATATTTCAAATGAAAGTTTGAATGGAAATTTTGAACTCTAAATAACAGTTTTTATCTATATGATCACATAACTGACTTCCAACATATGTACATGCCATAACACGCGCGGCCCACACACACGCTAGCACCGCAGATAGAGTCAATATTTCTGACGCGGAGTTTAATCGTTCAGATTTTGTTGGGAGTGTGAATCACGCTCGGTCAGTTAAACAACCGGAAATAACATGACAATGATGAGGCATTTTGTCTATCGATCGAGATCAGATTAAACACATTTGAAATACTTATGACGAAACCTGATTTTTTTACTTAACTGATGATACAGAGCACTATAGTCAGATACGTCTTGGAAGAGTGGTAAGGTTGAAAAACGCAAATGAATTGGTTACGCAGATATTTTAAAACACAGTGCAGCCGAAAAATAGCTTTTATCGATTACCCGCGGGAGCGCCAGTGTGCAGCTGTGCAGTAGTTTATAGCGCCGCACAAATTTCTGCTGCTGGCTCATCCACTCAGTCCGTACTCCCGCCCCAGTCTTAGAAGCAGTTTGTAAATAGTTAAGGATAAAGTCGGCCTACGCGTGATTAGCCAACGCACATAGTATGCCTGTTCAATATTTCGAGATTCCTAGTACTAATATTATTATGACAAATAATATTTGCAATTGCCTTGCGAAAGGAACGCATAGAAAAGTATAAACTTTCTACAGCAGGTGCAGAACCTGCGTTGTGATTTTAACTTACTGTATCTCAATTTTAAAAGCTATCTGAGTTAGCAGGCAAAAATGTATAATTATTTAATTGTTAAATTAACTACGTAGATGCGATCTTCATCAATGCTAGGTATGTGTAACGTATTATCGTGTTGATATCATATGTTCGCTCTGCAGCAATACCTAGACGCTGTGTAGCGGAAACCTGTCATCAGCATTTAGCCGACGTAAATCTAATGTCGTAGACCTACTGCCTTTGCCTTTGTGACTTACGCGTTAACCGAATACACATCGAACCTAAATAGTTGTTTAATATAATATTGATTTTTCTGATAATTTTTGTAAAGTTTTTCTCGAATGCTCCAAAGTGAACTGCTGCGAAGGCGGCAGACGATATGCTGGCTTGCGGTTGCTAGCTAGCCGAACAATCTCTCTCTCTCTCTCTCTCTCTCTCTCTCTTCTCTTCTCTCTCTCTCTCTCTCTCTCTCTCCTTCTTTCTCTCTTCTCGCTCCTCTCTCTCTCTTTCTCTCTCCCCCCCTCTCTCTCTCTTTCTCTCCCCCCCTCTCGTCTCTCCTCCTACCTCTCTCTCTCACTCTCTCTCTCTCTCTCTCTCTCTGCCAGAGCGGTGCCATCTTGATGAGCGCATCTCGGCGCGCCGTACGCCTTACATCACCGTCTATTATGTCCTTCTTACGGGCAGCACCAGCAAAGGGTCGGCAACCGAGTCCGGGGTGATGTTGTCCTCCAGTGTTGAAACAACACAACTATATGCGCCTGCAGCTTTAATACACTTTGCTGACTTAACACGGACGCCACGTTCTATTGCGGACAGGAAAATTGTGGGTTCTGACATGTTTAAATATTGCGAATACTAAAGTGTAGCCGCTGTTAACACGAACATTCATGATTGCATACAGGGTTTCGACAGGCCGCGCGGTCTAATGACCCGTGCCGCTTTCTTACACTTAGCGTGGCCGTTGAATAAAGTGTGATCTTGGAACGCGCTATATATGGATATCGATGGATAATACAATAACAAGAATAATACCATATGGTAGAGTAATGCAATAACAATGGATGCCGCTAGAAGGGATGTATTAATAGTTTATAGAGGCTCTGCTGCATGCGTATGTTGCTTTTGAAATATTTACGTGTATATAACGTGGATTTTCCTCGTTTACTTTATCCTCACAGTGCCACGTCATATCGTTTCAATAGTCTGCTGCTCTGCTATGTGAATGACAATGTATTATATTACCTTCTAGTTATTTGCACGTAGGCATGTGATCACAGCAACCTTGGTCGAACACTGGGCACTCGTTTCGTTCATCATAGCATTTCTATGCGTACTTTATACGGTATAGGTTATAGATATGTAATAAATATATCATCACCATCAATCGTAATTATTATCATCATCATCGCCGTCGTCGGTGTCGTCGTCGTCGTCGTTGTCGACTTCATAAGCGGCTCGTATGTTGGTTTATCGTTTATTTTAGCGACAGTTTTTTAACGGCTGAACACTTAACACGGCGATGAAACAAATACGCGCTGCTGACCCTCAACTCTAACACGCCCCCGTTATTACGCCCGTAAGGACATGATGATGATTCTCATCGACATGCTGACCTAATGTACTTATTGTACATCAATAATGTAATCTTATATATCTTATCAAATAATGTGATGTTCTAAACTCGTCCGATATACATAGCAAGCTAATGAGGAGAGTAAGACGCGATGTCTCTTTATCGAGAGGGCTGCTGTAATACCAGTTCGCCGGTTTGTCGTTAGCTGTCCGACGCTCGGACGTCCTGCGTGGCAGACGCCATGCGTGCAGCGTGCGTGGCTATATATAGCGCCATTAACCCATGCTGATTTTATCCGCGATGCTAAACTACACAAAATATAGGGCGTGTGTGCCAGACTGTATCGCCGTATGCCAGTTGAGCAGACAGGCGTTTCTCTATATCAGGAGTTAATAATGACAAATATTTGTCATTATTAACCCTGGCTATATATATGCATGTATTTCGAAATTGTCTACTGTTTCGGTAGAATTATGGTAGTGGCCGCGCGGTAGATCGTATTCGAGTAGGTGGCATGGCGGGAACCCCCCCCCCCCTGGTCATGGTGCTTTCGCGTTTCTAGTGACGCCTCAGTCACCTCAAAATCCGGTGGTTGTATGAAACACAAGATTAAATCTCCTCTCAATCCGTATGACGACAGTAAATGTGCGCTTTCAGTGAGATGATGAGCTTGAAACGAATACATCGAACATGGATTTTGTTGGTGAGCTTTATCGGATGGGAACTATCATAATAGGGCCTTTCAATGCATACCAGTTTTTTGATAACAGCATCTTAAAAACGCGCCTGCGTAAAGCTAGATTTACACTATACATTTTTTATTGTTTTCGTTGAAAAGCTGACGAGGCGATCAATGTGTTAACTTTCTATCAGATGTTCAGCGCGTCCAAATATATAAATTTGCGCCAGGTATAGCGCGTGTGCCGCTAATAATAGAAATGTGCACGTAAATAACTCGAGTTGAGACAATGATACAATGGAGGAGGAAGTGCTACTAGTACTCGTCATTGCTTTCCTAAAAACGCTGAAGAGATTTGAGAAGGAAAGTGTGGGAACACTTAAAGGGTCGTAAATCACCATGCGGTAGGTAAATTTATGTAATAAACCCGGTCGTCGCAAAGCAGGGCGCGATCGATATGCATTTTACGTTTTTCCACCCCACCCATTCGTATATTTATTTTGCACATTTCAGGTACGTGCCGCAGGAATAATCTTCATCCGGAAGGGGGGGGGACACGGCTCCTGAGAGCTATAATCAGAGTGGCGGCATTGCATAAAGTTGATCAACTCGCGGAGAAGAAATTGAGAAATTAGAACATTCCCTCAACTAGTTGACATCGACTAGTTGAGCGTGCAACTTTAACGTTTGCACTGTCGTCTTTTTGTCAAAATGTTTATCAACTCGCTCAACTCGTCAATTTTTTAACTAAAAAACTCGTGGCTCTATATATACTACGTTACCTTTGTCTACATGTAGAGATAGGATACCTCTAGAACATTTTACGTCCCGTAAACACGTGAACTTGTTTTGTGGCAGCATTTCCATATTTAGTTTTCGCGAATCTTTGGAATGCAGGTATTAGTTTTCTGCTCATTTGCGGTTTCATAGCCTATAACAGCACAAACTCGTAATTTTTATGCTGGAGTGATAAGTCATTAATATTTCCGCTAACAGGTAACACCTAATTTGTCTACATCTATTAATTTTTCGATTTATTTGAGAGATGATTATTTTAATGCTCGTAGCTTTGCTGAATCTCCGACTTTGATTTGCTGTTAATCGTTAAAGCCGTTCACACAGCTGGTCCGGAAGTACAGCTGGTCTAAAAACACGACCGCCCCGGAAACATGGCGCTTAGCTGCAGTTATTCCAGAATTAGCCAGGCGCCCACCGCCACATTGGTGCACAGCGCTCGTCTCTGCACACTGTCGAGCGCATTTATATCTATGCCGCCTGCTCCATTTGCCGCGGCGGGCGTTCGACGTGAGGAAAATAACGAGCCGCAGGAGTAAAGCAGTGCTTTTACACGATGTGCTGAGCTGTTAATGGGCAGGCAACTTTTTTTAATCCGTTTTCGCGGTTGTCGCGTGTGTGCCAGGCCGTCTTCGTCTAAGCGTGGTGGCAGCGTTATACTACATCAACGATGCAGATTCTAGCGTCTGTCTATACGTACCGCTGCGGTTTATAACCACAAGGACTATACGTATGTGATTTAGTCTCCTACACATCCGTGGTTATCATTACTTGTCCGCCGTACTATCCGCTTCAGTATGGTAAAGCGAGTAGAGTAGAGTAGGCACCGTGAGCATACGTACTCGACGCATTTACTGTCGCAGATATATGTTGAACGACGGTTTCGTCACAGTTGGTAGTTTAGGCCGCTATAGATGTGCGTGTTGTTTTTCTACATGCAGAGTGTGCGCTGCACATGGCCTGCAGAGTATACTAGGTCGTTACCACAGAAGCGAAACATGTTAGGTAGAGTCAGTACCCTCCGCTACCGCCTGCAAACGCTCTCATCTTACTCTCCAGACGCAGCTGTTGCTTATACCCGCTAGCAGCATAGCGCATTACCATGCGGTTGTACGCCTGAGGGAATCTGCCGAATGCTGCAGACAGTGCTCGATGCACACTAGCAGTCCTGGATGACACACTGCAGCATTACAACTTCATTCTCCCTTACTGGCTTCTCTTCTCCGTGTTTTGCGCGCTCTCTCGTCTCTTTGTATCTATGTATGCATGTATCTGCCTATCTATCTATCTATCTATCTATTTATCTATCTATCTATCTATCTATCTATCTATCTATCTATCTATCTATCTACCTATCTATATATCTATCTATCCATCAATCTCTAGTAACTACCTACATACCTACCTACCTACCCACACACCCACCCTTCTTTCCATCCATCCATCCATCCATCCATCCATCCATCCATCCATTCATCCATCCATCCATCCATCCGTCCATCCGTCCAACCATCCATCCATCCATCCATCCATCCATCCATCCATCCATCCATCCATCCATCCATACCATCCAATCCATCCATCCATCCATCCATCGCATCCATCCATCATCCACATCGCATCCATCCATCCATCCATCCATCCATCACATCCATGCCATCCATCCCATCCATATCTACATCCATCCAGCCATATCCATACAATAATACATCCCAATTCAATTCATCCATTTATCCATCCATCATCCAATCCATCCATCCATCCCATCCATCCATATCCACCATCCAGTCCTCCATCCATCCATCCATCCATCCATCCATCCATCCATCCATCCATCCTCCTCCACCATCCATCCAATCCATCCATCCATCCCTCCATCTCTCTGCTTCTATCTCTCTCTTCTCTATTCTCTCTCCTCTTCCTCTCTCTCCTCCTCTCTCTCTTTCTCTCTTTCTCTCTCTCTCTCTCTCTCTCTCTCTCCTCTCACTCTCTTTATGGGTCATAGATTGGACGGACGGACAAACAGATGGTGGACTGACGGCGGATGGTACGGACGGACGGGCTGATGTATAGATGGATTGTTAGATGGTTGAATGGAGGATGGATGGGTATGATGATGGATGGATGGATGATGGTATGGATGATAGATGGATGATGGATGGATGATGGGATATGGATGGATGGATGGAATGGATGAGGAGGGATGATGGATGATGAGGAGGATGGATGATTGATGGATGGAGCTGATGGAGTGATGGATGGATTGGATGGATGGATGGATGGATGGATGGATGGATGGATGGATGGGATGGATGGATGGTGGATGGATGATGGATGGATGATGGATGGATGATGGATGGATGATGGTATGGATGGATGGAGGATGGCCAATGGATGGATTGATGGCATGAAATGAATGAATAGAGTGATGGATATGGAGGGATGAATGGATGGATGATGGGGATGGATGGATAGATGGATGGATGGATGGATGGATGGATGGATGGAGGATGGATGGATGGATGAATGGATGGATGGATGGATGGATGGATGGATGGATGGTTGGACGGATGGATGGATGGATGGATGGATGGATGGATGGATGGATGGATGGATGGATGGATGCATGCATGGATGGATGCATGGATGTATGGGTGGATGGATGGGTAGATGAATTAATGTGAGAGTAAACAGTAAGTCGTTATGAAAGAGAGACGGAAAGAGACGCCGATGGAGAAACAAGAGATGAAGAGAGCGCGCGAGCGAGAGAGAGAGAGAGAGAGAGAGAGGAGAGACACCTATCATTGATATGATGTCGATGAACATAATACCGTATGCTAATGAAGATAGTCATACCATTAGATTAATTTACGGATGCTGCATAGGTATCTCTACTGTCATGGCGAAATATCGGTTAATTATGAACATGCTTGTGTATATAATCGGGGTATACATCGGGGTTTCATATCGCGCGTGTTCAAACAGTTTTTCGTAAATACGGACGGAAAATCGTTGTTCGTGCTAGTGCCAGGATACCTTGTATAGGGTAGGCTGAGTATGGATAGATACGCCTTGACTCCATCGCTCATTACCGTTCCAGCCACTATTATCAACCGACGCCTACGAGTGAATTCTCAACTATTTTGCTGCCTATACCATTTTGCGGCGCAGGGTTATCTCTACGATTGGCTCGCCATTTTCCGTCGCATCTCGAGCCGAGAGCGTAATTGCTATATGCGTCGGCAATATCCAAAACACGCGTGACGCATATTTTTAAGAAACTCGGACGACACGCGTCTGGCACGTCTCGGCCGTCGCACGTGTGCGTCTCGCCGCCTATACAAATCGCAGGTGGATTCATTGCGTATGGTGTGATCAGAGTAGAAGAGAGAGTACACTGCCCTCGCGGCGAAACGGCAGCAGATGGCGGCAAAGTTGGCAGATTTGCTGTGTAAAGTAAATGAATGCATGTGCACGCCAGACGCCCTTTAAAGTGCTTGTTAGACAAAAACCTTGAATAATATTCGTTCAGCTGCCGTTTGTTTGGGTCGTTAGAAATTAGTCATTCGCCATTAATTAATCAAACTATACCATGAAGAACATTTGATATAACGAACCGCAGTTGATATAATATTTCAGTCTTCGCTATTTGCATAAGCTCTCGCCACACAAAATGCAGAATCTTGATTTTTACGGCGACGGTTTTTGTTGCATTGAAGTTTGGAAATAATTGCGGTTGTTGATATCTTTATTGATCGAGGGTGCATGAGGAGCAATCTCATAAAGAACACTGCTTCTGCTTGGGGAAACAAAATCATAACGCGAAAAGAGGAATATGTACGACAATGCAATAGAATCAATGTGGTAGGGTATTATAATTACACCTATACACGTTGGTCATTATTTTGCATCGTAAAAGGTAAATGGTAATGTACGCCACTATATGTGCATAATAAAACACTAGCACGCCACGTTCGCTGCTTTTCCACTTTGGTTAAAAGTACGGCAACGCCACCTGGTAGTCGATACTGATCATCGAGTTGCATCGCAAATTAGCGGCTATATGATCGCGTTAAGATTACTTCCGTCTATCGCGTAGTTTTTACAAGGAAAATGTCTAATTCATAGCATCTACATAAATTCTCAACAACGAAGGACTCGCTAGCAACAGGCTGGCTGCGCGTGTTACATGAACCTGAGTACAGCCGCCGGCGGATATCACTCCGCGTCCGCGTTATCGCGCAATATCGTAGCCTGCCTGCACGCACGAAGGCAAACATGGCGTCGAATCACGGCTCTTCTGCTACAGTGTCAAAGCTGCCATTTTGTTCCCCGGTATTTCTCCTCGAATTTTGTCCTGCTATGATTGCAAACAGTGTACTGAATCTGCGCGGGTGTACGGATTTACGCAGTCTCTACCATAGAAGTAGAACGCTCATACCCAGGCGCGCAGCGTCGCCAGTTTCTGACCACTGTCACGTGACCAGCGCCATATTGGTGCATTCACCCTGCTTAGCGCATCACTAGTAAAGCTTGACCCCCTTACACAATTTTTAATACCAAATGCAAAGAAAATATGATAAGAAAGTAGTAGTTGAATGCCAAAATACCCGGCGTTAATGACTGTTAAGGGCCGGACACACTAGGCGATTAAATCGGGCGACTAAATCGCCCGATTCTATCGCGCGAGTCGAGTGGACACACTAGGCGATTAAATTGGGCGATTAAATCGGGCGACTAAATCGCCCGATTCTATCGCGCGAGTCGAGTGGACACACTAGGCGACTAAATCGCCGGTGAAATCGCCTAGTCGTGCATGCATGTGCACGTAGACGTGCGTGCGTGCGTGCGTGTGCGCGTACACCTGCGTGCATGCATGCGTGCGTGCGTGTGTATGTAAACGTGCGTGCATGCGTGCGTGTGTGCGTGCGTCTGTGCGTGTGCACGTATACGTGCGCGCGTGCGTGCGTGCGTGCGTGCGTGTGCAAGTACACGTGCGTGCGTGTGTACGTACACGTGCGCGCGTGCGTGCGTGCGTGCGTGCGTGCGTGTGTACGTGCTCGTGCGTTCGTGCGTGCGTGCGTGCGTGTGAACGTACACGTGCGTGCGTGTGTGCGTGTATATATGCCTAAGGCATATATGCCTTCTTTATATGCTCTTGGTATAATTCCATTCATTCACAATATTTTAACGGCTTGTAACTGTGCGCAACTTAGTTCCATATTCTATTATTTGGTATTTCAAAACATAGGCACAATCAGATCTTTTTTATTGCGAGCAAATATATATACTGTATGTAACAACAATTAAAAATGGGTGTGTCGCCACATCGCCGTGTTGCCATGTGGGTGTGTCGCCACATTGCCGTGTCGCCATGTGGGCCCGTCGCCACATCGCCGTGTTGCCATGTGGGCGCGTTGCCACGTCGCCATGTCGCCATGTGGGTGTGTCGCTACATTGCTGTGCCGCCATGTGGGCGCGTTGCCATGTGGGTGTGTCTCCACATCGCTGTGCCGCCATGTGAGCGCGTCGCCATGTGGGCGCCTCGCCGTGTCACCATGTGGGCGCGTCGCCGTGTCACCATGTGGGTACATCGCCATGTGAGCGCGTCGCCATGTGAGCGCGTCGCCATGTGGGCGCCTCGCCATGTGAGCGCGTTACCGTGTCGCCATGTGGGCGCATTGCCATGTGAGTGCGTCGCCATGTGGGCACGTTGCCGTGTCGCCATGTGAGCGCGTCGCTATGTGGGCGCATCGCCATGTGAGCGCGTCGCCATGTGGGCGCATCGCCATGTGAGCGCGTTGCCATGTGAGCGCGTCGCCATGTGGGCGCATCGCCATGTGAGCGCGTTGCCATGCGAGCGCGTCGCCATGTGGGCGCATCGCCATGTGAGCGCGTCGCTATGTGAGCGCGTCGCCATGTGAGCGCCTCGCCATGTGAGCGCGTTGCCGTGTCGCTATGTGGGCGCGTAGCCATGTCACCATGTGAGCGCGTCGCCGTGTCGCCATGTGGGCGCATTGCTGTGTCGCCATGTGTGTACATCGCCATGTGGGCGCATCGCCATGTGGGCACGTCGCCATGTGAGTACATCGCCATGTGGGCGCCTCGCCATGTGGGCGCGTCGCCGTGTCGCCATGTGGGCGCCTTGCCATGTGAGCGCGTCGCCGGTTCACCATGTGGGCGCGTCGCCGTGTCGCCATGTGGGCGCGTCGCCGTGTCGCCATTTGAGCGCGTCGCCGTGTCGCCATGTGGGCGCGTCGCCGTGTCGCCATGTGGGCGCGTAGCCGTGTCACCATGTGAGCGCGTCGCCGTGTCGCCATGTGGGCGCATTGCTGTGTCACCATGTGGGCGCGTCGCCGTGTCACCATGTGGGCGCGTTGCCACGTAGCCGTGTCGCCATGTGGGCGCGTCGCCGTGTGGGCGCGTCGCCACGTAGCCGTGTCACCATGTGAGCGCGTCGCCGTGTCACCATGTGGGCGCGTCGCCGTGTCACTATGTGGGCGCGTCGCCGTGTCACCATGTGGGCGCGTCGCCGTGTCACCATGTGGGCGCGTCGCCACGTAGCCGTGTCACCATGTGGGCGCGTCGCCGTGTCACAATGTGGGCGCGTCGCCGTGTCACAATGTGGGCGCGTCGCCGTGTCGCCATGTGGGCGCGTCGCCACGTAGCCGTGTCGCCATGTGGGCGTCTCACCATGTGAGCGCGTCGCCGTATCACCATGTGCCTTCATTTCTGACTATGAATTGTTTGTGACATGACTATGTACAGGGGGGGGGCACTTTTTAGGTCGTGTTCATTATGAATGTGAATATGTGTCATATGTGAATGTGTCATTTATTGAATATGTTGGGTTGACCACCGTGGGGATGAGGGCAACAGCAAAACTCTTTCTTGGAATTGTGAAAAAAGCTGCAAAAGGGTTGTAATCTCTGCTTTGCCATTCAATTGCATAATTTAACCCATGCATCATATCATGCATGTATCATGCAGGTATCTGCGCGACTATTATATTTGTCAATCCACCCCCTTAAATCCGCCACTGATGTAATGTCCGCGGGTGGGCGTGATCCTGCAGCCAGTGGTTCACTGTAGAAACCTATCTCTGGTGCCATAGTAGTGTTTTCCTCGCCTGAGTCTAGAATTTGTCAACGGCGAGTCGACTGCCCAGGAATGCTCTCATGAATCGAAGGCAAACCTCCTCATATACGTATATGAGAAGGCTGAATGCATGTGGTATATAGACAAGGCTGAATATAGAGACCGGGACAAGAGGCAGAAAGCGATAAAAGAAATTGTGAGTGCGCTTGAATGGCCGAGTGCAGCGATGTATATGGTGTACATGTACATGTATATGGTGCCTGGCATCTGCGCTGATGTCTTTGATGACAGATAGATTTGTTCTCATACATATTCTGATTTCTGCAACATAAATAGACAGAACTGTCAGATGCCTTTTAATAGGCTTCACAAAACTCTCACACGTGCTATGTCTGGCGCGAATTTATACATGCAATAATGCCTGTATAAATAATATAGTATAATATATATATATATGTATAAATTAATCATATAGATATCCATCGCTCCACACGTACGCTCGCGGTCGAGTCTGACCGCTCGCTCGAGTTGCCAACTCGCGGTCGTCAGTGTAAACGCGCTGCACAGTTCATAGATAGGTTGATAGCGCGTTGGGAAGTTGGTATAATTCGACAATTCGCCAACTCAAAGTTGGCAGCGTAAACCCAGCTTTACATAATGTTTGGAAGGGAGTAAAAAAATTTAAATCAGGAAAATATTAATTCTAGTGCTTATAACTGACAGAAGCTAGCATTAGTGTAACTCCGAGAAACCGCCCGTGCGGTTTTAGCACTTCCCTATTGATCAAAACCTTATAGGTTGATCCTCACGACGAATCACTTTAGACACTTTTCACTTTGAATAATTTGTCTTACATGATTTGATATTGCTAATGGTGAAGACTTCAATATTAAATTTAGTGACAGATGACTCATGTGCAGGTCAACTGTCTCAGTCTTAGTGCAACATTTACCATGACGACCCGTGTGACATTACTCTAGACGTACATCATTATCCCAGCAGAGATAATAGGCCTATAGTTATTAATAATAGTAACCCGATTGAGAGGTGAACAGTAAAACAATTCAGTGGCAATGTTTGTTAACTAGATCTAGATCTATACACTCATTTTTACTACAGCGATTTGAGTGCATGGGACCACATAACACATACATTCGGCGAATGTCTGCAATGATTATTAACCTACTGTACTTGTAACCCGACCAGGCTGTGTGACTAACGTCAATATACAACAATATACAATAACGTCGGTATTCTAACCTTAGCAATACCGTTTCTTGGAGCTACTGTACTTGTTGTAGTTGTACAATACAGTGTGAGTAGGGATAATATTAATCGGTGATTTTTTTAGTCTTAGTACGTCATATTATCTTTTACAAAACATTATAGAAAAATACCTGTGGAACGTCTTTCCAGATCATTTCTGTATCCCATTGCAACAGTTGATGGCCACGCAACATGTAGGCATTTTGAAGCATTTGTTCTCAAGCTTTACTAGTGTCGTGATGCGCTAAGCAGGGAGACTGCACCAATATGGCGCTGGTCACGTGACAGTTGTGAGAAACTGGCGACGCTGCGCACAATGCGGCGCGACTGTGTACGAGCGTTCTACTTCTGTTCTATTTCTATGGTCTCTACACATCGGTTTGTGCTCCGGTCAGCGACAGCTGATGTATATTTGAGGCACGTTTGCTGCTAACTAATTGTAGCTCTGTCATTTATTATAGAAAATGTTACAACAGCTTCTATGATCGCTGCATATGGTATGGTATGGTTGCACCGTCTTCCATTTGCCAGGCGTCCTTATAGTCACACTGAGCAATTTGAGCGCCCTCGGGGACATCATATAGCTATCTTATATTAGCTGGCGGCGCCATGCTGTGCGGTTGAGTGCTGATCACGTGCTGGCATAAAGCTCGTCACCTTTCATCTCTGAGTGGCCGTCTAAAATGTTTACCCCGCAACAGTTTGGTTATCATGCGGCTAGACCACGTATACTGTAGCGAAATTACACATTCATTGTATCTCGTAGGCTGGCCGAAAGCCAAGAACTCGAATTTCGTCTAGGAAATGTTGCGTCGACATACACGATGATTATATTTTATGCATTATGGGTCACCAATCGGACAGAAAATATAATCAAGAAATCGTAGCGGCGTACGGAAATCAGTCGTTTCCCTTGCCTGCCTCTGGCATCATGCTTGGGTTATTGGCTTTATACTTGATGTGATGTGATGTTATCTCGTAAGTGTGGCGAGCGTTGAGAAGCCAGCATGGAGGGAGAGGGCCGGGTGCGCCTCCCGACGGCGGAATATAGCGTGGTTCGAACCTGAGCGAGATAGCAGCGCGCAGGAATCTATGAAAGCCATGTAAACTATTTATCATCGCCGACCATGCGTCCCTCTCGTAAACTGCGGCTATCTACGTTGTTTTGGTTTGCGATGCCGCACGTGATCATGAAAACGCGCGAGACTACGGACTTGTCCCCCTATCTGTGTAAGAAGGAGCAGAAAAACGAGCCTGGCGAGACTGATACATCCATTCGCATACTTGCGCAGTCTCTTTAAGTCGTTTTTCAGTGGAAGACTGTCGATAACAAAAACGAGTTGTCAGGCAAATAAGTTTTTCAGTCAAATCTGAGAAACGTAAGACTAATAGCGAGCAATGCTTTATCCGCTCGCCAACTGCATGTAAAAACGCTCGAGGTGGTGACGCCAAGTATAACGCTTACGACTCGAAGTTATCACACATAACGCACTTGTCTTGTGTGACATTTTTCATCGGAGACGGCGACGTTACTTTCGGTTCACAATTTGTCGCTTGACATTTATTTAAATGAGCAAGTATATATACGGTGATTTACGCACAAGCACTCATCAAAGTAACATATCCCGGGGCATGGGTTAAGGTAATTCCATGCCTATTGTAGTCCGGCAGAATAGGGCATATGGTTTGCATGGCGGTATACGTAAGTTTTTTTCTTACCGTTCGTTTTCTTATGTTCTTGCACCAAATAAGGCATTTCTAACAACTGGCAGTTGCTCAGTTGTGGGGAATTTTATTTAATGTAGATTTATTCAAAGCCGCATCATCAAACAATTGAATTTTGGATTAAATAAAGCCTAGTGTCGCAATAATGAGATGTGCAATGCATGTAAAAATTATATTATACCATCATTTACAGACTGTATTTGACATTTGAAATAGTTGTAAGCTAATAATTTACAATCATAACGTCTGTGATTAGGCATGAAAATTGGTTTACGCGTTAACCCTCTCCTATGTTAAACATGCAAAATCCACGAAAATGAGTTTTAAGTTACCTACAATTTAACATATTTTGGTACAATTTCAAAACAAAATCAGTTGGCTTTAATCGTCCTCTTCCTCCTCTTCTCTCATCAAAGGCTTCGTGTTGACGACTCTAGTTTGTTGTTAGTTTGCAAAACATTGTACACGCCAGTCTACCAATGTTACAACCACAGCCCTTGGACTTGCTATGCATCTCCCGTAAAACAAGAACACTTGATGAGCTGGTGCTGGGGAGTGCATAAAAAGGAGAGTGAGCAGGCTGTAGGACTAGTTTCCCTCATCCTCCGCTTACCCAGCGCATATTCCGTGGGATCAAGGTCTGGAATGCTCTTGTAGGGCATGTTCCAGATGCGACACTGATAGTGTGCTCTTTTGACATTTTCTTTGAATGGCTTTCTTGCGTGGGGTGGCAGAGCTTGCAAGCTTCGGTGTACTCTGTTGCTCCTTTTCTACCTGTCTTTTGTTCCAAGCTTTTAATTCTTGACTCAGTCATGTGTATGCATCATGCAGTTGTTTAGCATGCTGAGCAGAAAGCTGTGACTGGAGCAACACATCTATACAAAGTTAGCAGTCTGATTTCCATGGAGGCTCAAGCTGCATTCCCTCCACTCAAGAGTTTTTAACATTTGCCTGCTTTCGAATCCCGTAAGCACATGGGAAACAGTGTCCGCACACTGTCAGGGCATGAGGCTGCGTAACATGTGAGAATGATACTGGAAGACTTTATCCACTGTGTAGCACTTAATATCCACAAAGCTCTCTGCCTTTTTCCCTTGGTGACTGCGGGTTTGTCAATAGGGATGTTAAGGCCCATCTATCGAGAGTACTGGTACAGCAACGAGAACGTACACATCTCGTGTCATCGTGCCTCAACAATGACTACTTCTTCTCGTTTCTTGTGCTGCAGTATATCGCACTGTGCGTGACGATTAGTGTCTCTTCTTCCATGGTCTGTCTTGAGGTTGTTCTCTGAAATTACTAAGCCGTATGGAGAAAATCTCATACGCACTTCATCTTGGCAGTAATGACTAATAGTGTGGGGATGGCCTCCCAGTACATCATGTCACTTTAAAGTCTCACAAATATATCAATTCCTCATCAAATAAGCTTCGGCCATGAGCATCGTAGCAAAGCTCAGGGCGCAGACGCTGTCTGTCGTCGGTTCTGCACCGTCGGACAGTCCTGCTATCTCCACGGAGCTCGTACCGTGGGGAGCTCAAACAGTTGGGAGAAACGCCAAGGAATCTCTTACATACTTCTGCACCCAAGAGAATAAGACGAAAAGCACTTGTTTATATCAACGAGCGTTGAATGGAAAAGTGCAACCCATTCCGTACATGCTGTCTATAGAATAACTTTTTGTCATTTACACCATATTACTATTATGTGTCAGGTGTTCTAACACCAGTTTTCGAACGCGTATCTTACGGAACTCCTTACGATACGCGTAATAGCGTGAGCCTTGAAGTTAAACAGCGTTCACAACCGTAGTTTTTGGAGATGTCTACGTCGCGTTAGTAGCCTGGCGCATAAGGCGAAAGGAAATCGAATAGAGATTTACGCCAAATGCGGTTTAATAGGTTCGTGGCCTTTTTGCTATACTCTCTTTCTCTCTCTGTGTTCCACATTCGGCTGTGTGTTGCGCGCGGCCCGTCTCTTCCTCTCTCTCTCTCTCTCTCTATCTCTCTCTCTCTCTCTCTCTCTCTCTCTCCCACTTCCTCTCCTCCTATCTCTGGGATGCGATCTCCCCCCTAGCTCATCTCTCTCTCCAGTCTCTCTCTCTCTCTATATGTCTCCCACATACTTACCCGGTCGGGGCTCTATTCTATGCGTCTCCTCTGTCTCTCTGTCTCGCTCTTCTCTCGGTCTCTCACGCTCTCCTCTCTCATCTTGCTCTGCTCCGTTCTCGGTTCTCTGCTCATCTCTCATCTCGTTCTTCCATCTCGCTCTCTGTTGCTGCTCTCTCTCTCTCTCTCTATTGCTCATCGGTCCTGCATTCTCTCGTCGCTCTCTCTCATGCTCACGCTCATCCCAGTTCTCTTCTCTCTCGGCCACAAGCGATTGCGTATACGCGTATTATCTATAGCCGGTCGGTTCA